GCGAGAGAGAGAGAGAGAGAGAGAGAGAGAGAGAGACGAGACGAGAGACGAATGGTTGTTGGTGCGCGGTTCATCGAGAAAAATAGTGGACACGAGGGAAAATTAGATCGCGTTGCGGATCTAAAGCTGGGAGCGACACTCGGCGAAGAAGCCGAGACGATAAACGCGCGTACAACAACCATGGCGATAATACAGCCGCTCCCATGGCGATTTTCCGCTTAAGCGGATCTCGCCAGATCTGCCAAGGGAAACTGCCGATTAGAGTGCGCCGATTAGAGCCGGGCTAAACTAGTGGTCCCTTACGAGTTAATGCACTCACGATGCATCGCTGCTACGCCAGAAGACAGCGCCAAACGGTTGACCCGTATTGGCTACACCTGAACCGTCTGATACCGTATAGTCCGCCGGATTCTCGCTTCGCAGGAGCCCGGATTATCGGAATTGCCCGCTGTATCATGGTCGGTACAGCAGAAGAAAGCGATATCTCGCGTTTCGCGATCGGTTTTCGTTATTACATCGGCAAATGGGGAGAATCGTCGTTTAATTTGTTCCGTGTCACGCTATGCAGCCTACATCGCGCGTATCTATCGTAAATATCTGGCACTGAAATTTACTAATTGATATACTTAAACATCGCGATCGTTATGATGAAAATGATAATATAATGTTGTTTTATAATTATTAAATTTTAAATCGGGATAAATAGTATTAATCGACGATCTATATCTGTAGGCTAATTTTGTTCACTTTATTTGATTTTCTACAATTTCGATGTAACATGATACATATAGCTTGGACAAAATTATCTAACTTACTGCAATTAATTATTTATTTATGTTTATTGATTTAGCTTATATTTAGCGATATTTTTCGTAAATATTTCATAAATAATTCTGCAACTTACTAAATATACATTTAATTAATTTTTCGAAAATAATATTTTATTTTTCTATTGTTATTGTGTTTATCTTTTCTGTGTAATGTTTATCTGTTGCTATGTATATCAGCTAATTTGTACCTCTTTTTATATATACAGATAAAAAACTCTCATTACAACAAAGATTGTTAGCCTTTCTTTAGCTTCTTTGTTCTATGTGCAAAAGTCACGTTAGTCTTTTTGAAGATCGATTCGACGGCCACCGTAGGAAATTTAGCGACGAGACAACACTCCGTGTATCCGCTTTGTTCCGAAACTCTTAGACTGGCGTCTCGTCACTCTGCAAGTTATAAATATTCAAACTTTGAACGTCGAGTTAATCAACGAAGACGCGCTTCGGTTTAAGGGGATTTCGCCCCGCAGTGAATTTACAAGAACATTGCAGATACTAGAGGGCTTTGAACGACATTCGCCTTTCGTCGTCGGCTTTTATCCCCCCGTCCCCGTTCGACTTGTTCCATCGACGCGTAGCGCGGTGTGTACATGAAATTCATTTTCCGAAAGCTGCTCGTCGGAAGGCTGTATATAACTTGGAAGAGCTGCGATGAAGCTAAAACTGATATGCGACGTGCGGATATGTTTACTTGAAATGTGAATCCGACGCGCGCGTAAACCAAAACCAAGCAGAATTTATTTTTTATTTTTTATTTTTTTTTTCCTTTACTTTCCTCAATTTATGCATTCTGTGATGAAAGATGCTCTTTAGTAGTGGGGATTAAATTGAGATTTCCAATGTTCACCATTCGCTTTGTTGCAATGGGACTATCCAAGTGAATATCTTATATCTCGGACTACGGAATAGAAGCGAGCCTGTTAATAAGGATTTATGATTATCACGGAGGAAACCTTAAGACGAAGGCTGTCGGAGGTACTTGGTTAACCGTTACGGCCGTTCCCTTATGAGCTTGTCTCAAAGCGACGTCGAGGGCCGGCAGGATTGTAGCACAAGGGGAGGTGAGAGGCAGAGCTCTTCGAAAATTGTACCTAGATGCTTCATCGTCGTTCCCGAGGCTTTATTACCCGCTGGAGCAACAGAACGAACTGTTTATGGTTTAGAGAGCATCTAGAATCTGCGAGACACGCAGCGGGATATTACCGCGCATAGCACTTTCTTCGTCGCGCCGAATGTAATTTGATTCGCCGACTATCACGCGCGCTGCACTCGCGCAATTATATCGCTAGGAGACAGACGCACCGACAACCTTCGTAAATTAACTTTGCCCGGCGAATCTTTTATCCTTTTCTATCTCTGTAACTGGATGGAGGAAAACTTGGTTAACGATGACTACATACGATTAAATCGACGATCTGAATTTAATCGTATCGATCGCTTTTAAATTTTATTTTTCCTTTATCGTTTTCTCATTTCCTATAAATTTATAATGATATGTTATTTTATCAGGATATTATAAGTGGAAGAACGATTATGTATAATTTTCATAAATTTAAATCTCTAAGTTTAATGATAATAATAATAATAATAATAATAATGTAAGGAAAGAAGTTCGGAGAAAGTCAAAGTGCGACTAATCGTCACATTTAACATTGATGCAGTCGGTGAATTCTAATTGTATATGTGATAACGGTGCACTGTCATTATTGCATTCCTTTGTCGCTGACTGCGACTAATGATAGCAATGTCTGACATCCATAAATCGTGGCTGATTAACGAAAAAGGGACGTCCCCGTTTAATTCGTCTCTTTTACTTTCTCCCTCTAATGGTCAACGTAAATGTCTCCAACCATCACACACACACACACACACACACACACACACACACACACACACGTTTCGTTTTCGCGACATGACGTCTATACATGCGAATATGGGCACGCTCGCTTCTACAGCCGTAACCGAGTGTCACGCTCGGCCGGCGCCCGCCATTATCTCGCGATAGAATGCGCTCACGGTGGCCTAATAAAATCCCATGAGTCAGGCTATTTGTCGGCGGGAGGGTATTTAAGTGATACATAATGTCGTAAAGAGCTCGTCCCCTAAAGACATCCCTGTCTGCCCTTCGTGAACCAACCGCAATCGCTCGTGCGAGGGTTCGCGCCAGTATAGAGTCGTTATGTGGATGTACAAGGTGACGATATATTAGGTCAAACGAACTAACTCGATCGATTTTTTTTTTTTAATAAGAACACATTTGCCATAAATTATCCTTCCCCGTAGAATAATTGTTTTACAATGTACAAAGAATTATTTTATTCTTTGTTTCTCCTTTTATTTTCATGCACGCATATAATATTTACATGTTATGTTCGATACGATGTAACAACACATTCTTGATTCATTAATGGAATATAATAAATATATTCATAATGCCCCATGTTATTAACATGTTTGTCAACTTGTAATGTGAACTAATAGACTGATGACAAGAGCTCGTATAATACTTTTTGTGAGCAAAATTATCGTATTTGATTGCGAGCGTGAATATTAATTTTCTTAGCAGGCAAAGCGTTCGAGGAAAGTCTTTCTAGTTTTCCTTCAGATCTTTTTTTTAGATACTGATACCACGCGATTTTTGCCTGTAACACGAGGCACGTAGCATGTTGCCGTGACTGCGAATGAATCTTTTAGCGGCACGCGCATTCGCTGCCACGAATTGAAATCTGTTGCTGCGAGGGACTGATCGCGCGTCTATTTTCCCGGAATGCAACGTGTCGCTTTCTTGTTTATATGTGCCATATGTCGCGAAAACGTATCTTAATAACTGCGCCTAACATTTACTAAGCTGTCCACCTTATTTCGGCACACCCTGTATACAGCGACGCGACCTGACTCTTTCCATTATCGTACCGAGGGACGTTCCGACATCGTATTTCAACGCGGCGGGGTTTCTATTTGACTTTCACCCATACCAGCTCCCTAAATCGCTTCTGACGTCCGTATGCCACGGAGGCGTGAACGCATTTTCCACTACTGACGATATTTTTCATCGCATGGCGTTGACGAGAAACACAATTGCCATTAAGCTTCAAGTAATCCCACTTTTCCTCCGGCAGCAAGCTAAAAATTAATTCTCAATTAACTCTCTTGTGAAGAACAAAGTCGGAAAAAGCCAGTTTTTAAAAACTCATTTCAACATAAAATTTGTATTTTCTAAAAATGAATTTGTGTATCATATGTATTTAATTATGTTTCTTTATTTCTTTCTTTTATTGAAAATAACTTATTTTTTTTTTTTTTTTTTTTTTTCGTTCATATTATAACAATTTTGTATTTTTTGTTGCAGGTAAGAATGCACACGAACGAAATCTATTGGATTCAACAAATTAAGAGAATGCGTAAGTAATTTTTTATGAAGATAAAAATACAGAAGGAGATATAGAATGCACTATTGTGGAATTAAACTCCAGTTATTTTATTTTACTTTTTTTCTGTCTAATTAACGAAACAGACATTTATCCTTGATTCCCTTAATATTTCATTTTTATTCATAATTACGAGTCTTGATTCATTGATTCATCACTGCTGTGCCGTTAACGGCAAACATTTATCGAGGTTAAAAGACCGACAAGAGTTTACATCACTCATGTTATACACATTGTCGGCGCGGCTGCTTGACATTCGTTATGCATAATAATTTATGCTATATAGGAATGCGTAATCAATAGCCATGTGTTAATGTGCCAGCTGGAAATCATGCGATTCTATTTTAACTGCTTTTCGATCCTTCCAACGATCGTTTTAGCGTTGCGCGTATAATTATTTACCCACCGGAACTCCCGTGGTATGGAATCGTGTAGCGAGCGCGTTGTACATCCTGGTTTACATTCGTTCCGCATGGCTCGTAGCGGTATTTTTTCGCTTGGCGAGGTTGGTTTTTTCGGATTTAGATGCAAACACGTCGGACAGTATTCTGTTTGCACACCTGACGCGTACGCATTCCGAAATACGACGAATATATTTCGTCGACGACATTATTAATACATTTTTACAGTCGTCATGATTCGCAACATGCATCTATCGGATATTTCGTCAAAAAAAAAAAGAAGCAAAAAAGATTAGACACATCGATTTCACGTGTTTTATTTCACGATATGAATGCGATGCATTCATTTCTGATAAGACGATAGAGCAAAAAAGAGAATTTGACAAAACGAGAGGAAACAATTTTTGCAGATCTGAAAATTATTTAAAAATTGCTTCAACAAAACTTTCAACAATTTAATGAATGTTAGCCGAGAATATGTTGAGACAGCAGAAAGTAATAATGGGC